TGTTGAATAAAAATGTTTGTTCATTGCTGAGTTGAACTATATGTATATAGAATATTTTTCAGCATAATATATAGTAAATTGGCGTTCCATTTTTCAATACTCTGAAACTATATTTTTCTTCGGAATCAATAAAAGCTTATTCAAATAACAATTTTATTCATGTAACATTTTAAATCAAGTGTCACTTAAAATAGAAAAATTTTTGCGAACAATCGTTTTTAATGTGTCCAACAAATGCATAAATCAATTAAATTCAAACAAAAAATTGTTTGGTGAATAAATTGAGGAATGAATATTTGTGACAATAAAAAGTAAATCGGCGTTCCATATGTGTGCTACATTTTTATAAAGTGATTTTAGGCTGCATTGAAATATGCAGAAATATACAGGGTGTCTCAGTAAAATAATAGTTTTCGATCAATAACTACTGATGTCTCATTTGAAAAGTTGAGTTTTACACAACATTGAATTCTACGTAAAAGTGTTTTGGAACACAGGAGCTTCCCTTTAAAAGTGTTCAATTTGACCCACTCTTGTACAATGTTTGTTTTACAGCGGTTGTGCACCGAAACTGCAAAACACTTATTTTGAACAATTCAATTTCCTCAGAGTTGAAACCTGTTCGAAAACATTTTCAAATTTTTCCCTGGCTAGAGATTTCGTAGAACTCTGATAGTCCATCATCTTGTGTATCTCCATAAAAATGAGCGTTCCGCAGACTGCAATATTACGTCAGTGAACACCTTTTCAATTTTGTTCTACTTCTCCAGCAACTATTATGGCAAATCACCCATATCTGATGAATAGTGAAGTGTAATACCATTTTAATTATTTCTAAATTAGTTATCAGAGTTTTTCTATCATATACCGAAACAATCTTTATCTGATATATCTGATTGAACTTTCTTATATTGGGTTGAGTAAATCAATCCTATAGGTCTGTTTTCAGTAAATCTTTCTATTTTGTCTTCAATCGACTGATTTTTTGTCTCGATACAAGCATGATCACTTCACAGAAAAGCACGAAAACTGATTTATTTTCTCATGATTCATTGTAGTAGGGGAGCCCACGATGCAAAATGGGGATTTTCTCGAGCGTCATTGAGACATATCAGGTTGCAAAGCTTAGATGCTAAAAAAAAAGTTATATAATATATACCTTTTCATCGGTGGGGAAAGCGGCTATAGATTTTTAAATATGTAAAAAAATATTGTTGCATGGGCATACTCGAGCGTAAAAAAAAATTTGCTACGCTCGAAAATGTCGAAATGACGTTATTTTTTTACAACTTTGCTGCCCTCCCCTTTCTTTACGTCACTCTCAAATTGTCAGATTACTGGAATATACACTTTTTAGCATATAATTAACTCACACTACCTTAATCTGACGCGTTCGAGAATTTCTGATGTTAAGTTTTTTTGCTAATCTGATCCTTTATCCCTCACAGGCGGCCTTATATATGGTGCTCATATTTGGTGGAGGTACTTAACCGGGTACAAGGTATCCCACTGTTTATTAATCTGCCGCGCTTTCGTAAATCCCAAAATCCCCGCTTGGGCTCCCCTTTTATTGATATACTTTCATATTTTTCCATGCAAACCTGATGGATAAATCACTAAAATTATTCTGAATCATATGAACATTGTTGTGTTTTTCTGTGAATTCAATCTTCACACTATATTTGCATTAACACTTGCGATAAATGTATTTGTTTACCAAGTTTATCATTGATGTTTTGTGGTAGAGCGGTGGAAAATAACCTTTTTTACGAATTTCACACAATATAACTACTATCCCAAGGTTTCAAACGGAATTTATTATATTCAAACATGAAATTGTCTTTCGTGGTAATTCAGATTAGCGTCTTATTTGTTTTCAACTCTTATCAAACTATTAGACCTATTTTTCTAGAGATGATAAAACTTATCACGTCATTACTAGGAATAATGACAAAAAGTGAGTGGGTAGAATGATAAATATTTAGTTGTTCGGAGATTTGAAGTTGGAATTCAATTGGTATCTTTGATTACTGATATTCTCAGTTTAATCACATGAAGTTAATAAACAACTCAAAAGTACAACTCGTGTTCGCAATTTTTAAAAGGTGGATTGTTAATCACTCTCAGTAAAATTTGAAATTCGTTCCCAACTTTGCCTTTTTGATTGAACTAAAACCTTAATAAGATCAGAGTATTTTAAAGACCATCTCTACCTATACACTTCAATATTCAAGAATATCAAAAATTATCTTAGAGGATCTGAATTTCAGAGTTATTCAAAAAAACGAAACAGTAGGCAAGGGAGAACTGTTCAGTATGATGTACCTCAAATTATCTGCTCTGGATCTATTCGACCTGTTTCCAAACACCAGAATTGTAACACTCTTTCCTCGACGCACGATTCACCAATCAAGTCATCAGAAGATAAATTATCTTGTTCTTCATCTTTTTCTCCCAAACACCAAAACTGCAACACTCTTCTCTCGACGCGAGTTTCGTCAACTGAGCTGGCGTTATCAGATGGTATTTAGGAACAGTTCTTGTAATGAATTTATTCATAGGCAGAGCTTCCAGTTCTACTTTTCATAGCAATAATTTTGTTAAATGCAGTTAGACAAGTTAAATTCTGTTGAATTCTCAATTCATTATCTCTTTACTCATTCGAAAAAAAAATCATTTGAAATTCTGAACATTTTAATAGCAAATATTTTTTTTATTAAATAATTTTGAATTCGTTTCTCAATATATTGAATTATCATCTTCATTTTTTTCATTGCTTATTCGAAAATGAATACTCTCGTAATACTGTCCCGTACAGATTAGCTTCATGTAAAATTGTAATCAGTAAAGAAATTGAGTTTTTTGTACTTCATCAAATAATACTCCGATTAAAGCAACTCATTTTGAAATTGTAATTAATAAGAACTTCAAACTGATATGTTTCTTTTACTTCAACAATCCAGGCTATTCGGTAGATTGTTCAGTAGATTTCGTTTTTGAGATGATCCCATGAGAAAAAATGTATTGAGGTCGGTTCAGGTGATCTGACAGGCTATTCCGAGGCATACACCTCTTCTATCCATATTTTCAGAAATACATTATTTGAATGCGGTGGTATTCCTTTTTGTGGAAACCATAAAATCGAATGTGATATAACTGGATTAGGAAGTATACTTGTTACTATAAGTCCAGACTCTTCGTTTCCAGTCTTCAAAATGTAAAACGTTACCAGGCTCAATTTTAATCGGTTAGACGTACAGGGTTCATTTTCTGTGATTCTTTCTCAATCTAAGTTTAAGAAACACATGGCTAAGAATATTTTGTCACATCCATTCTTAAATCAATGGAGGGGTGAAGATAATGACTCACTATTCAAGTGATACATTCCTTCACCATTTTGTTTTGAACTTTGTTTTTGGTCATCATGACCTACTATCTCATATCAAAAATATTATTGTCTTATGAAGAAGAGATCTGAATATGATGAAGTTTTCAACAAGCGTAGAACTGGAAAAGATAAAATTATCAAAAATATTACGCACACCTTTCTTTTACGTCCTGGTTATCTGTAACGAATTTTCTTTACGATGTATGTAAATCTGGTCACAAAGTTGTTGAAGTCTTCACTATGTATCTATATGCAGTTCTCTTTTATCACTATTTCAACATTATTGTTATATTTTCGTCAGAACTTTCGATCGCTGCCCTCGTTTCGTTACATATAAATCGTGAGAAAATTACTACTTTAATAAAATCGTCCTAGGACTCAAACTGTCGATATTTGTAGATAAATTCAACTACTATTATTAACAATTTGAACCATATACGATAAGGATCAGTTGAATAATAAATACTACGCGGAAACAGCAAAATATGAACAAAAATAAATAAGTTTCGTTTTCCTTAATTTTAAAATAATCCGTAAAAAACTTAATTCAAATGAGTAGATAAATTCAACTACTATTATTAACAATTTGAACGAAAATTTCAATAAATATTCATTCTCCATGATAGGTTTCCTCACTGTATATAACTTTATAACAGCAAAAGTGATGCGATAATTTTGAACAGCAGAATATTTGTTTTTGAACACTGCATGTGATAAAATCACCAAATCAGCAATGACCATCAAGAACAATAATTTATTAATGCCTGATGAAGTGCCCATGTCATCGTACTTAAAAAGTATGCAAATGAAATTGTTGTTGGATGATTGCTCAGCATATTTCCAAAAAGGGCAAGAAAAATCTTCCCAATAACTATAAACCAGTCGCTTTGCTAACAGTGATATCAAAAATCACGAAGAAAGCCGTAAACCACCATATCCTCAAATATTTGGAAGGCTTTGAACATCTTGAGCGATCATCAATATGGCTTTCGGAAACAAAGATCAACAGATGACCTTCTAACGTATGTCATCCATATTTGGAATAACGCAATCGAGAAACATGGAGCTGTTACGCTTGATTTTTCTGAGACATTTGACCGCGATTGGAGACGCCTGATTGGAGACGCGAATATCACTTTCAACCTCGATAGTTGGATGGGGAAAGGTTAGGATTTGTATCTCTTCTATAGATACTTTCACGGAGAAATATGCGACGAACTGTGAGTGGCTGCTCATCGTTTTGAGGTTCAACTGAGTACACCTCGAACTTCACTGTTTAAGATGTGAATCGCTACTTTCGCACACGCACCGTCCTCACAGCGCCTCCAGAATTTTCCTATAGTGCTTGTGTTTTGTCCTTGAAAAATAAATTACCATATTTACGTAAGTCGTATGATGATTTTTTGTTGGAAGAAACCACTGTTAAAAGATAAAATCCCAAAATGAACAAAACATAATTCAATGTTGAAAGAGTTTTGATTATTTTAAGATTATGATTTCGTTGCTAAAGATTATATCTAACAATAGGTAAACATAATTCAGTCCGATTGTCACACAAATATTACTATTTATTTTACCCCCCATAATTTTAAAAATTTTGCATAAAAGATAGTAAGCATTCGACGCGATATCAAATCGAATCGAACGTATCTCACGAATAACGAACATAAAAAATGTTGTTCCAAACTCTTGTTGCCGCCTTTTTCTTTACCACCCTGGTACAGGCAAGAAATATAACCATTCAAAATATTGGAAGTCGATCTTTGTCAGTTTCGATCACAGGACAGAATGATTTCACAGTATTACCAAACGGGGCGGTAAGTATTTTACTTTTTTTACATAATCAAGATATGGGTTTATCGACAAAATGCCAGAATTTTTAGAAAAGTTCAATAATTTCTTAAATTAACGTTTTCATATAGTGATTTTATGTAAAAATAATGATAATTCTGCAATATATTTTAGACAACGCAGTTCATTTCGCATCAAATATTTACAAATGAACTCTTAGAAAACTGTATTCGATAATTTTCCTAGACAGTTTTACAAAGGAACTATTGTGTTCAACAATTTCTGGTGCCCTCTGATTTACCCATTTCTTCCATGTGTCTGAAAAACACTGCAACCTCATGGGGTCATTTCGTTTCCTCCCATCTTTTTTATCACACCAATTTCAATAATCATCTTTCCTGTATTAGTTCCCTGGTTGAATAGTTGTCATATTTTTTCCATAAACTACTTGCTTTCTGTCATCCAGTACCTCATATTCGCATAAAACATGACGAGATGTCTCTGTTTCTTAGTTGCAATGCATGTACCTAAAGTATTTGCTATACAACCTCATTTGATTCAGGTGTCCTCTAACATTCAGCTCTCTAGTGTATATTTTCGGGTATATTTTCAAACTAATCTATATATTTCCTGATCTGCTTCGTACTAAAACTTTTGCTAATCCACAGCAGGCTCTGGGGGCCTATATATATAGAGTTGTTTTGTTGTTTGTCATTCCTGAGTGTTAGTTTCTTCTGTTCCTCCCGTTACCCGTAATTTTCAAATAAACAAGTATTTACTATCCTGCTTACTTTCTCAATAGCAGTTTCTTGTTTCATCTCTGGTTGTTGTATTTTACCTGGAATATCTAAGTTAAATCCGGTCTCGAACAAATAATAATGAATATCTTGTTTCATATCTGGTCACCAAACCAAAGGAGGAGGGATAATCTGTTATACACAAGAAACTATAAAATACAGTTCACAATCTAATTCTTAATCAACAATAGTATTCTCAGAAAAAAATATTCAAAATAAATTTTCATGATACGACAAAAATCTGCATCTATTCTCTTTTATTCTTTTCAAAAATGTTTTTCCCGTTTGAGCAACTCACATATTCCTCAACTGTTCATCCGACAGTGTGAAATGACATTGAACAATGATTGATGGAAATCCACATTTAAGTAACACGCTTAACAAAACACGGGTTTCACTATATAATAGCTTCCTCAGGCATGTTTCTCAGTTTCTCACCTGAGGAAGCTATTGCATAGGGTAACACGTGTTTCTGTTACTGTTACTGTAGTTTTTTTGGATATCCCAGTTGTATCTACCCCCGTAACTCGAAGGTGGATTTTTAGTTCTTGATAGTCTCTTGCATATGAAATTCAACCTAACCTCTGAATTGTTACTGTTATGGTAATTAAGTAATTACTGCACAAATCAAGGAGCTGTGGCCCAAGAGTCAGTGGCATTATGAATATCGATACACCCATTTTCTATCACACTGAGGATGATAATAAAATGGAGAAAGGATCTTTAGAATATGCTAAATATTTTCAGGTACTCGTAGCAGTCTCTGAAGATTTTTCCGGTACTATTTCCGCTGTACCGGTTGGTTCTGAAGTAAAAAACGTTCGTACACAAGCACATTTTACTTTAGGTAGCATTTCAGACACGTTTGCCGTCTCTCTCATTGAAGGATTCAATGTCGGTGTTAAGGTAAGTGACATTTTAATCAACGCCCATCCGGTTCTGTAGTTTCAGTATCTCTGTGCCAAAGCTCAAACCAAGTCAAATTAAATAGAATTTTGCTCTGATATTATAATGCACATTATCATCTGTTTCTTTCAAAACATTCATTTCTTAGCAAAATATCTCAATTAAAATATTTTGAAATTAGGAACAGTATATTTTATCAAAATTATTCCACTGCCATTATACCACTGAAATATGATCAACTGAATATAATAATTCAACATAAAACCAGAACAATTTCCCTAACATAATGAAAATTATACTCGTTAGGAGAATAAGAGAATTGCTCCGAATTTTTGGGGTGCTTGTTTAATACTCTTAATACGTGAGAAAAATTCAGCAGAATCAATACTCCTGACCACTATGAATTGAATGATTCTGTCCAGTCTATTTCAGCAAATCTTTTGCTGAAAAAATCCTCACTTGTTTACTTTATAGTAAACGTTCAAGAAGTAGCACAAACGTATGTGATTTTCTGGTACTTCATCTAGCGTTTCCTAATATGATTGATAACCAGTCCGTGTGAAGCTTATTGTTAAATCACCTGAAAATGTAACTTTCACCGGGTGATGATCAACTGTATTGCCAAACATGTGCCAAACTAACTGACTGATATAAGGAAACACGTAAAGCTGAGGCACCAGTCAATGTAATAATAACACTGATGATCTTCAAACATGACTCAACCGCTGACGGAAGCACCAAACTCTTACGAAGGTTTTCGAAATAGATGGACACTTCAATCTAGCAGACCACTGTTATAATCTTCATGCAGTCATTGTTCACTGTGGTTCTGGCGTTGAATTTGGTCATTATTACGCCTTGGTCAAAGACGAAACGGGATGGTTTAAGTTTGACGAAAGTCGTGTCACTAAGTGTTCTTGCGATGTCTTGTATTTACTGGAGCCTCTGGAGATACCCTATATTTTGTTTTATGAAAGAGAGGACATAGGCGGGTTTTCCTACAGCTGAAAAAGCAAATGCGCCACTGGAATCAATGAAGTCGCCACAGAGTGCCAATTAATATTTGTTGTTTCATAATTCCATGATTTGTATTACTTTAAAAAGGGCCTTGGTATTAGCCGGGATACCTTCTATCCTAGAACTCTAGGTACCAGCCGTGGTGATGGCAAACGGCCTGATGGAATGACTCCTGTTCCTGGAAATGTGGCAAAGATGTCGTTTGGGACACATGTGCGGACACATTGGCTCCATCTCATTTAGTTGGAACGTCTAAAAATGCAGGTGCTGCCGCCTTAACCAGTGAGAAAGCAAAACAGCAGAAGTATCGAAATGTTGGAAATAACTTTATATTTTATCCTGTGGCTGTAGAAACTTTCGGTGTATTTGGCCCCTTATCACTAAATTATGTTAATGAAATTGGCAGAAGGATGACAAAGGAATTAAAGAAAAAAGATGTACCACCTTCCTGATCCTCATTATACAGCATATTGCAGACACCCATATAGTGGCACATGGCATGAATACAACGATTCACATGTGTCCCCAATTTCATCTAATTCACTTGTGAGGAGGCATATGTCCTCTTTTATGAACAGTAGAGAACGAAGCAGTAATTTTGATTTGTATGTTTTATATAGTAAATTTAAAATCTTTCTTCTTGAATATACCATTTGCTTGTTTTGAGTTAGTTCAGGTATGTTCACAACAATGTCAACCATATCTAAAAATGTTTGTGACCATACTGACCTGAAACCATCATTCAGATGGGAAAATACAAAAGCGGAATGAAGACTGAATTGATCAGATAGATGGGACTAAAAGAAAAGCGTAATTAGCGCTGTACGTTGTATATAAAGACATTTTGTATTATATTCAGTATACGCATTGCACCCGTACGGAGCGGGTCGCTAGTTCATAATATAAGTATCAGCAAAGTTTTGGCAGTGGTAGATCTTGATATGGAAGTAAAATGAAATGAAGAAAACAGTGACATTATTTCCTTTCAATTTCAGATTGTTTCTATCGGTTCAAATTGTGGCAAGTCAGTTTGTATGGCCAACCTCCTTACTGTTTGTCCTTTGGCCAACCAAGTGATTAGTAGTGTAGGAACTGTCGAGGCCTGTACCAATGATGTAACCACTTTCAGGTGGAAATGCCCTACAGCCGTGGTAGCTGCTGAAGACTTGGCGGTAACTTGCACTGGAGCGTCGTCCTACAAAGTACTTTTTGTTTAGGGATAATTTGAACTTACGGAAATCGTGTTAATTTCAATAAATTCTAATTTCTGTTTGTTTGTTTTTATAAATACTGCACAAGAAAATGAACTGGGGTATAAAATATTGAAAAGTACCACAGAATAATGTTGATATTGATTTAAGCATGATACTTAAAATAAAATAGTTCTGGTAGTTCGAAAACCTTTTTTTACAATATTTTATAGGACTCTAGAATCAAATAAAATAGTGAATAGGTGTTCAATGCTTACTGAGAAACTGGGAGATTTGAAACTAACGTCCAACGGCAAAAATTTTGCACCGAATATGTGTCACCTGACCAAGTGATCTATCACTGATATATCGATCCAGCGACTTACACCTGTCCCCTCAGAAAAAAAAAACAATTAAATTGTACTTTAGGAGGACATACATGAAAATCTCATTAAGATATAAGTAGAGGAATACTGAAAATCGCAATTCAAAAAGTGGAAACCTTGTTAATTCTTTGTTCCTACGTGTCTTTCAAATACTGATGAGGGACGTTGTTGGTAGAGGAATAACCTGTTATACGGTTGACCAAATACTCAGTTCATATAAGTTATTTCAATGATAACATTCAGTACTGACAATATAGAATAAAATAACTAAACATTAGAACAACGTAAATCGGCGTGACGTCATTCTACAGGTGATACATTCACTCTTTAGCAGCAGAGCAAAACCTGAGAAAAACTCTGTAGCACCATATTTCCTGTCTCAAGTTATACAGTCTATCGTAAAGAACATCTGTTCACAATAATGAACAATATTTCAGTCAACGTCAAACGTCAATATGATTCATGATTTGACTGGAACTCAGAAAAGTACGATCATATTCGGTATTCCAACCTAAAAATCAAAACTTTCGGACCAGCAATATTACGGAGTTGTCACTTATCATGAGCTCAATCTCCAAGAAATAACCCAACATCTTCACATTCAATGAAAATCTATATAAAATTCAGGAAAATGCGTGCGAATGATTCAAGAAATATTTGAGGAGTGGGGGATGAGTCAGCTCAGTAGGCATCTTAAATATTCTGAATACACTGGCCCGTTATTTAGTGAAAATCAATAACACTATAACACGTGGTAATATTTACAAATTTTCACAATGGAGACTTCATTTCCAATACGACTTCCACTACAACAGTAGTTTCCTAGTCTCAGTCTATATTGTTAACATTTGTGATTATTATACATGAATAATCCTAAATATTGTTGAACTGTTTTCCTTGGTAACAGATGAGAGTAAACTTAGCAAATCAATGGAACATGGAAATGACGGCAATTTAAATGATGTTATTTCAGAAAAATAGCACTGCAAACAAAAAGTTATCAAACCAGAAATTAATTTTGTGAGAACTTCAACATATTGGTGATTGAAATGAAAGTACTTGTTATGGAATGTTTGAAACATTTGGTGTAGTACTGGAGTTTTTTCCCAACACCAAACTGTTATTTTTAACACCTCTTGAAGATGATCAGTTGGTGATTGAAACACGTGTCGAGGTGTTAGGGATGAATTGGAAGTAGTTGAAATGATTCGGTTACGTCATAAGAACACTGAGTAGGGTATTTGAGGCCCGTTGTAGCAAACGCTGTAACATCTATGACTTGACTTGGGTTTTATATTATTATTAGTGGGCGTGGCTTGATTTCTCCCAATTGGATTACCTCTCCTTGTTCATTGCTTTTTTTTTCTATTGAAATCATCCCTGTCTTTTTAAATTTCTCTTAACTTTCTATATACTCTTGGATATCACTTGTGAGTTTTATCAAGTATTATTGTATCTTCGAATGAGTTAATGATAGTGCCTTCTACGTTGAGAGCATGTTTGGCTACAGCTGATTCGTCAGTTTGTCCGAGTCGACAATTTCTCTTGTGGTCAAAAAGACGGGTACCTTCACTTCTTTCCGTGGTTCCAATATAGACCAACCCGCAGCTACAATGAATTCGGTATACCCCGGGTGTCGCTAAAGTTCTCTGGGGTCTTTAGATGGCCCTAGACTTTGTCTGATCTCGACGAATGATCTTTGATTCCAAGTTTCTTCTCTACTTACTTTCAAAGATTCATTTGTTTGAGACGGAATTAAACGTAACGAATGATGGACTATCCTAAAATGACAAGATTAGTAGTTTTGATATAGAAAGAGTAGTATAAGGAATGGTTTGGAGTCGTTTAAAAATTGCTTTATCAGGCAATAAGGAACTCTCTTGTAGCAGTAGTCTCAACAATATGTGTTATCCCAAGAACGACCAAGGATAAAACAAGAGGCACTCAGATTTTTTAGAATGAAGAAATTTGAAAATAAACATGTAGCCTACCAATGGAACCGAGAATAGAACCGTCACAATTCCACCAAATATGGCCCAACTATGTGGTTTCCCAAAATACCTGCCCAAACATTTACTTTTTCTGGAAATTGAGTATGTTTTTCACGAAAGATGTGAGGATTTGTGTCACTCCAATACCTCACATTTTGGATACGAGGGGGGGACGGGACTTTTGACTAGCACTGTATAAAGCGAAAACAAAACCCTGAAATGAGATTACAATAAAATAGAAGTTGAGCAACAAATTGAAATTCGAACAATTACAGATAAATAAAAATTAAAAGATTTCAAGCCAAGTTCCTTCACGACGTTTCGATTGTTAGTATCTACAATCGTCTACAGGTGATGACTAGACTATTCCTCTGAGGCATGACTAAAGGTTATTCGAGTGCTTTCACCTATTCCGTTTTACCTCTCTCCGCTTCACCGGTTTAGCGAGAGATGACCGTTTGGCGGAAGTTGGTCGTTTTCCGCTTGAATATGGGTTTCCATATGCTGCGTATCTCTGCGCTGGCTTGACTGAATGCGTTGTTGGACAACATATATGCGGCTTCTTTGAATTTACTCCTGAACCAATGTTCCTCCCTGTGGATGATCACAGTCCAAACATGTTCTGCTATTCCCGATTTGCTGATTTCTCCTCGCTGTGTGTTTTTCTTCTGCTTGGCAATGCATACTTTTTATGGCCTCCTAGTTTCACCGATATACGATTTGCCGCACTCACAGGATATCAGGTAAATGCAATTATTGGAATCGCAATCCGCGTTTGGTGGCCTGGTTTTGCGTGAGGCTGCTACGGATAGTGTTTCCGGATCTGAAGCAGATTCTGATGTTGTACTTGCAACCAATTCTTATCCTTGCCGACAATCCTCTGATGTAGAGAAGTGCAAGCATTGGTTGTGACCGAGGCTCTTGCTGTTTTTTAGCTAAAGTCTGTTCCACTATCAGTTTGGGGTAACCATTCCGTTGAAGATCTTTTTAGATGATGCCTTCTCGAGATTTCTCTTCGTATTACAGAACCCGAAAGTACGATCTACTAGATACCCTGTGAGTGCGGCAAACCCTATATCGGTGAAACAAAGAGGCCGTTGAAAGTTCGCATTGCCGAGCGCCAGAAACACACACGGCGAGGAGAAACCAGCAAATTGGGAATAGCAAAGCATGTTTGGACTCATCAACATCAAGTGGTCCCAAGCCGGGATCATCCACAGGGAGGAACACTGATTCAAAAGGAAATTCAAAGAAACCGCATATATGTTATCCAACAACGCATTCAACCAAGCCTGCGTAGAGATACGCAACATACGGAGACCTATAATCGAGCGGAAAACGGCCAACTCCCGCCAAACGGTCATCTCCCGCTAAACCGGTGGAGCAGTGAGAGGGAAGAGGGGATATGTGGAAGCACTCGAATGACCTATAAATAATCATCTCTCGGAGGAATAGTCCAGTTATCACCCGAAGACGATTGTGGTACTAACGTACCAAAACGTCGTGAAGTAACTTGGCTTGAAATCTTTTAATTTTTATTTCTTCGTAATTGTTCAATTTTCAATGTTTAGAGTAATTTTTTATTTTATTGTAATTTCATTTCGTTTTTTTTTTGCTTATTATAATTGTGTTTTCAGGTATTCATTTTAATTTTCAATTTAATGTGTTCTTTCAGTGATTTCGAATTATTATATACCAATGGAAGTCCAAACTAATGAAATTCACCATGAAACATTGTCAGCCACCTCCAAACAAAATCGTTTCTCTTTTTATCTCCGATGGTTTGGTCGGGTTGAGCTGAAAGTATGCAGACTGGGTTGAACATACCGATGGTGGGAAGTTCAATATAGCTCAACATAGCTAGTCGATATACGAAAAATATAAAATTTATATGGCTTTTCATTTGCGCAGGAGATGAGAGAGTGTAATCCATCCTGAAATAATAAAAGTCCTTTCAGAAAAATAGTGCCAGCTTGAAAATTACCCTTCAGTAAACAAACGGAATAACAATAACTACTGCAGGAGAGTTTTTATTACTAGGTGATGGATTGTATTCCTCAACTCCTTTTGCAAATGAATGATCATATCAGAGTAGGTAGGTATATTCTCAAACTATATTTCTACAAGTTCTATTTCAAGCTGGTAGTTTTTTCTTTTGGAAACTCTGTGTGGTTTATATTATTCGGGGAAGATTATAAATACAAATGAATGAAATGGATGAAATGTTCGTGACGTATTTTCAAATACACCTTGTGAATTATGTCTATCAATACACTTCGTGAATTTCAAGAAGGCACTTTTTTTGTGAAAGGATTTGTGTCTGATTTTTATCATTCAGAGGTAGAGTACACCACCTCATTTCCTTTGCAACTGAATGAAGCCATTGAGAAATGCTAGCATAATTAATAACTACGTTAATATTGTAGATATTGTTTTCTCTTCGGTGCCACTAGTAATTTGAATGCGAGACCCTACTCGAGACCCTACTATGTGTTTGGAAATTTGCCTGTAAATTGCAAATGGTCAACAAAAATTTTTTTATTGAAATAACATTCCAATGAAATTAAAGCATTTCGCAGGATAAATCAACCAAAGTACACCTTACGGATTGAGTCATGGCCGGTGAGAAGCCCCTTCCTCAAGATGTTCAGTAGGTGTGTAGAAATCTGTTATCATTCTGTTAGATTATTCGAGCAGTAAACA